CCATCCATTCCCAAGGCCCTGCTGGAGCACAAAAGCCATAGTAACTCACTACTGTCTAAAGTCAGAAAGCCTTCCATAAGCACTTCATTTACATTTTTCAGAAGTTTCAATTTCTATAATCCCCCTGCAATACTGTCATGGGAACCAAGCCTAGATTCCCGTGTGGGTGCTGAATACTTGCAGTCAGCTCCTGATGCTTGCAGCCAGACAAAAGAATTCTTCTTGGCTGCAGTAGTGGGCTGTAGCTTTACTTGTGGGTAGGGAGAAGACAAAAGGGAGCAGCTCACAAGGTTTATGTGCTTTATCTGCTGGGCTTATCTTTATTATTGTTACTCCAGCAGAAGATAAGTGCAGCAGAGCTGTAAACAGACCTGCTGCCTCCCTGTTCTGGAGGTCAGAGTGGAATATCTGTACCTGCTGCTCAGGTTTTTGTCAGGAATGTCTGTCTGCAGGCAGACTGCTCCAGAAGCATCATACCAGGGTGAACAGTTCAAGGTTCAGGTGGTGTGATCACAATGGGAAGTCCAGCCACACAGGCTGACAGAGCACTTGGGGAAATCCTGCAACAGACAGGAGGCAAGATTGAAGCACAATCACTAACATCCTTAATGCAAAATACACCTCAGTACAGTCAGTCATACATTATGACGGGACTGTGCCCTAAAAGGAATCCTGTCAGCTGAGGTGGACTGGGGCAGGCAGGGAGTGGGACACTTGCAGCAGAGAAAAGGGAATGTCACTGCCTTTAGTCAATGCAGTACCAAGGTCTCATATGCAGTATCCTGTTATGGTCTGGTTGTTTGTCCTCAGGGTCAGGCTTGGGTGTAGAAGTCCATCAGGATGATCAGGGAACAGAGGGTATAGATATGAAAAGACTTGAAGAGGTCGTGGTCTCGTAGCACAGCATCTGCCAAGGAATACGATAGCTCCCTATAAATAAGTTGGGAGTGTGTACCATGAGGGTGCAGGAGGTGAAGGACAAGAACAAATAAGCTAAATTAGCCACTGATATGCATAGGCCAGAAGTCAAAGTTTCTTAAGCACCATAGCAATGAGGTTTCAAGCCCTGCCACACAGCGAAGGTGGCAGGGTTGAGAGTTGATGGGTTTGAAGGTGGAGCACATACAGAGAGGATTACAGCATGTGGTAGACTTCAGCAGTAGAAAACGAGGCTTGGGATTCAGGAGCACACTTCTCAATTCCATTACCTTTAAAGCAAGCTCACTTTGGTTTTCAAGGGAAGTATCTGTGATCACTTAGGCCATTACAGGTGAACTCTGGGTAATGTCCCTGTCTTGACTCCTTTGTCTAGCATGGCTGCACGATGTTTCTGGGACGCTGACACTGACAGCTGTGCTCACGACGTGTTCATGAACGTAAGTATGGGCTGGATTCCCGTGGGAAGTGCAAGTGTACTTGATTTTGTATGAGAGGCAGAGTGACCTTAAATATGGAGCAGAAAAGAAACAACTACTAGAAGGAAGAAATCAAGATTATTGAAACAGCCTGATTTACATCCTTATTCACAAAACATACTTAGATATAACAGTCAACATAGTAAAAGTTCTCTCCTGAGTAGGTAACACAGTACAGTACAAAAGTCATTGTAGTCACACCATTTTCCTGGTGGGGAGAGAAAGCACAGGAGACAGTTTTTTCTTACATACTCTGCTGAACTGCAGTCATGGAGCATGGGTGAAATCCAGGACTGAGCCAAAGTCAAGGTTTTACTTAATTTTTATTTTATTTTATTTTAAACTGTGGGTGTGTGGATGGAGGAAATTGAGGCACTTCTGGCATTCAGATGCACTGACCTGGGTTACGCCACAAGTGAGGTGAATAAGAAACTTAAATACAAGACAGAAAGTTGCAATATATTACCATACAGTGTTGCTCTGGTCTAAATGTTCCCTGAGGTTTGCCTGTTCCACTAGACTAGCAAAAAGCTTGCCTTGACTAACAGAATCTATCTGTTTTGTCCAGGACAGCCTGTTTTGTGTGGTGGCTGCATTTGGCTGCTTCTACTATTGAAGGTGACAAACATTGCACAGAAGGATGGACACTGGGAAGAATGCTTTGGAGTATTTTTTATTTAAGTGCATAAAAGCATCATATTCTTCCTTTAGTACATAACACAACAGCTCTACAAAGCATGTCCTACTCCTGTTCTACACACTACAATATTCCCTCTTCCTTGTGGATATTGATACAGCTTTAAGAACAATATTAATATTATTATTATGTCCTTTATTTAAATGGCCCTTTGTTTTTTATATGGTGTTGGTTTTGTCCTAAAAGTGTATTGCCAATAGCCATTGCTTCTAAGACAAACTCAACTTCTGTCTCAAGAGGGTTCTGTTACTTTTATTTTTATTTCTATGAAATTAATGAAATATTTATAAGAAAAAAACATAATAAATATATGTATTTAATATTTCTTCTCCTGTGGCATTGTTTTCCACTCTACTGCACTATCCTGGATAGCTTGTCTGCATTTCTCAGGTGAGGATTTTGACAATTCTTTGTAAATTAATCCATAAAGCTGATCTCTGATTCTGGTTACCCAGATTTGTTCCTATGACTCCCACAACAATTGGGCTATGAATCCCAGTTATGTCACATGAGATGGTGTGTAAGGTTGCAATGCAAGATGTAACCAAAAGTATGTATTCTATTACCATCTGTTAAAACCAGGTGGGGCAGTGTTCTTTATCTCTTCCATGACCCATCCCTCATAACTCCAGGGGATATCTTCTGTTAATGGGCCATTGAGACTCACTGCATGACTGATAAAATGACATCATCCCGTTGTGAGATGCTCCACCCAGGGGGAGGAACCAAGCATTCCTACCTGGATATAATCTGAGAGACTTGGAACACCAGTCAGCCTTTTTCCACTGGATTCCCAGAGGAAGACCAGATTGTTATACATCACTACTGAACCTTCAGAAGAAAACTACACCCTGCTGCAGGATTGTTATTTCAACAGAACCACATGTCACTGTAAGGAGACTGCAGCCACTGTTCAATCAGACTGCTACCAACACTCTGACCAACAGGATATCAGGTAGTATTCTGACTCTGTCAGTGTTTTTTTGTACTACTGCATTTTATTTTAATTTTCCTATTAAGTTGTGAGGTTTTTTTATATATACTAGTAAAGAACTGTTTTTCCTACTCCCATATCTGTTGCCTAAGAGCCCCTTAATTTCAAAATTATAATAATTTGGAGGGAGGGGGTTTACATTTTCCATTTCGAAAGAAGCTCCCGCCATCCTTAGCGGACACCTGTCTTTTCAAACCAAGAAAGATAGTATTAACTGATGGAAAGTCGAGGTATTTAGGACATTAGGTCAGGCCAGCAGCCCACACACCCCATGACTGCCACTCCTCATGCAGTAACTGCTCCTTGGTTCAGTGCAATTTGGCACCCGTGGATGATGTGAGTGATCATTGCTCCTCAAGCTCTTCAGCACATACGGCAATGATTTCTCAATCTCTCTGTAATTGTTTTGGAATATGAGGGTGGATGTTTGGAGACCAACTTTGCTAGGACTCCAGCCTCTGAAAGACTGCAGTAGATCTGCAGAAGAATGTTAAAGCATCTCATCTGCCCAAAACTTAGAGGACGAGGTGGGTTCCTGACAACAGTGCATCTTAGCATGCCCACTGGAAGATGGTGGTGATGCCTGTTCTCTCTCTGCTGGCAGAGCAAGCACAGCTGAACCACTCCAGTGGGATGAATGGCTTTTAGAGTGCCAAAGTGGGGTGAGGTGAACCCTGAATCCCACCCTCACCAACTGTTACAGAAGAACAGACCCTCCCCATGCAGCTCGTGGAAGCTGAGGAGCTAAAAAGTTAGGATGCATCACCTAGAATCCCTCTTTCAGCTGCAGTGCTGGAGGCAGCACACTGCTGGCTCTATTAGTTGGAAATATTTTGAATATGAGCCTTCCTCTCCTTTTCCTCTGTTGGGAAATAGAGGGTGACTTCTCTGACTGCTTTGTTGCTGCTTGTGGCTGTCACCCATTAAGGAACCTGCAGAGAGATGCAACAGCACTGCTCATTTTGTGCACAACCTTGAAGTGTGACTTTGGGGAACAGCAAAACCATCCACATAACATTTTCCAGGGCATGGTACATATAACCTCAGACTAGTTTTGAAGCTTTTATAAAGTCTGTGGCTTCTAAATCACAACGTTTCACCTTGCACTCGCTCCATTTTGGAGGGGTTTAATAGCTTCTTCACAAAGGTGGTGTACAAAGCAGGTGAGTAGATTTGAGTCTGCAATCATTCAGTGGCACGTGGCTGTGGCACGGGAGAGGTAAGGGATGCTGTATTTTCCCTGGAGAAAGATTGAGCCACTGCTGAAGCACTGCAGGATGTGGACACGCAGGGCAGCTCTCTCCTTCCAGAGCCTCGGGAATTCACACTGGATACATCCATACGCTGGATGATCGAGGAGAGACTTCATCACAGTCTCCCCTCCTCACGTTGGGAAGCAGAGGGGCAGGCACTGATCTCTGTGGTGACAGTGACAGACCCCAGGGAGTGCTCTGAAGCTGTGTCCTGGGGGTTCAGGTTGGGTATCAGGAAAAAGTTCTTTCCCCAGAGGGTGGCTGGGCACTGACCGGGCTCCCCAGGGTAGTGGTGATGGCACCAAGCCTGGCAGAGCTCAAAAAGCCTTTGGACAGGGCTCTCAGGCATTTGGTGTGACTCTTGTGGATGCTGCTGTGCAGGGCCTGGAGTTGGACTCGATGATCCTCGTGGGTCTCTTCCAGTTCAGGCTATTCTGTGACGCCAAGGGGCGCGGGGCAGGACCGTCGCGAGCCGGAACGGAGGTTCCAGGGGCGGATTCCCGGGACGCGGCTTCCCCGCGGCGGCCCGGTCCCTTCCCGTGGTTCCGGGCGGACACGCAGCGGCTCCGCCCGCGCCCCGCTGGCGTCGGCGGGAGCGGGGCGGGGCCGGAGCGGCGGCGGGGCCGGGGCCGGACTCACCGGGCTGGGCTGCGGAGCTGTGCGCCGGTAGGGGGGCGTCCGGAGGGAGCGGGGGGCTGTCACTGAGGGGGCTGTGGGTGCAGGGGACAGGGAGCGGAGCGGTGCCTGTCACGGAACCGGGGCTGTTGAGTGGGTTCGGACTGGCGGCACATGAGGGCACCGCACGCTCCCCGGTCAGGGGTCCCTCCCCAGGCCCCTCTCGCAGGGCGGTGGCCGTGGCACAGGCTGGGGGCTTCGGGAGGTGTTGGCCGGGCGGGACGTGGAGCGTTGGCTTTGGGCAGGAGGGCAGTGTCTGCTGGGGTGGTCGTGATGCGCTGCGTCCCCTTTGTGGGGGCTTGGGCAGAGGCCGGGGCTCGGGCGTGATCCTCCGAGATGGCAGGACTGGCAGCTGAGAGAAGACAGAGGTAGACAGGCCAATGGGAAACTTTTGTAGTGCATCCTGAGCGCTTGGAGCGTGGGGGTTCCGGGGAACATCTCCCCGCCCAGGGGACAGTCAAGGCCTAGGGATGACAGTGAGGAGATGACCCTGGCTGCGGCAAGGGAAGGTGTGATCCAGCTGCTGCGTAGGCGCACATGTCCTCTAACCCGCTTTTTGTGTCCACTGAAGTCCTGGCTGCACTGATTAATTGTTTTGTAATTGGACTTGAAGTCCTCAGGAATTCTGAGAGCTGTGATGCTCCTCTGTAGTCCTCACTCGCCGTGGAGGGAGGTGCAGGAAGCTGCAGGTGGCCTCTCTGTCCCCACCCTGGGATGCTGCCACACCAGGACCCTGGCAAAGATTGGGGTGGTCAGAAACAGGTAATGCTGGGTTTCCATCTGCAGGACCCCAGGGTCTGAGGACTGCCACTGTATTTGGTTTTGAAATTCAGATGACAAATACCCAGGCATTATTTCCTGAAGATATTTGCCGTATATACACACTTATTAAAATTCCTGATTTAGAAGTTTCTCGCTGCGAGATCTGGATTGTAACACTCTTGAAATCACTCTGCCAAGAGCCACAAACAATAACTGTTTCAGTAAGGAATTGGTATTGGTCTGTAAACCTGCTAAAGGAGGTTTACACCTCCAGTCTCAAAAAGCTCTATTGCTAATCCCTAAAAACGAAACAGTGCAGAAGTCAGGTCAGAATGGCCACCTATTATCATACTTCATTATCCCTGACAGTATATTTTCTGGTATTCTGCATAAACTATTTCTGCTGCTTCACTCACCCAGTTGAGGCTGTCACATGTTGAGACATTGAGTGCCTGGAAGTACCCAGAAGGACTGTGAGTTCACAGAGGTTTTGACAGCAATTTCTCTTTTTTATGTGTGTATTACTTAGCAACACTATCTAGGTGACCACATTGAACTGTTTTCTGTTGTGGTTAGGACAAATTATCTTAAGCCGTTTGGGACTTCGTTGGTGAGAAGCAGCATCTTTCCTTTGATTGCAGGACATGGATACCAGAGCTTGCGTATGCTCAGGCTCTGAGTGTTACCAGCGCCAGTAGGGGATGCAAGGCCTGGGGGGTTGTTTTAGCAGGTATAGCAAAGGTGTGGATGCTGTTGGACCAATGTGTGGCACTGGCTGAACAGGAATCCTTTCTTATGTTCATGTGGATTTTAACACACTGTGGGACAGCTGCTTCTGTTGATCTTGATCCAAAGTAGCTGAAGCAGCCTGTGTTTTACAAGTGAATGTGACTGTGCCAGATCCTGCAATAACCTTTCTAAGGGGCTCAAGGGCTCGATCATCCAGCTAGAGCAGATGCTGACTGTGGGGAGCGTCGCAGTCTGTCTGGAGGTGAGCAGGCTGGGTCATAGCCAGCAGCACTCTGTTTCCAGGTAGATGCTCTGCATCTGGAGACTGGGACAGAGCTGGGCCTGGCAAGGCTGGACTGGGCATGAAGTTGCCTTGGAGATTGGGCAAGATTTTTAAGCACTGATAGAAGAGAGATCCATGATGAGTCTTCTGTGATTAACCTCTCCCAGGTCTCTGTCTCCACAGATCTCCACAGGGATACACACCAGTAAGGTTAAATGGAGACTGGAGGTTGCAGATGAGGGAGAACAGGGGGAAAAGGATTCTCTTCGATTTATGGTCAAGGAATGCAGGGTCTCTTTGATACTTTATAGCCTGGCAAGGGACTTATCTGAAGTGACAGGACTTCTCCCGTTTCCCTGAGGCTCTGCCTTACGTGCTGTCCATGTGTCAAGGCAATTCTCTGCAGACAGCTGGCAGAGTGCAAAGTTTAGTAGTGTTGCCTGCAGATGAGTCAGCAGAAGAGAAGTATCTTGTTCCTGTAAAGTGCAATGATCTTGTAGGCAAAGCAGCACATGACAGTCACATCTGACTGTGCCAACGCCTCCCAAGTTCAGAGGGACGATAGGACAGCCTTGGAGCAGGTGGTGCCACCCAGGGAGCTATAGGTGGCCCAGGGCCTCACTGGTCCAGCTTCCAATCTTGTGCTTTGGGTCCCTGGTGGGAATTGAGACAGCCTTGGGCTGGAGCATTTACTGAGTTGTTGCAGCAAGCTGGTTTTCAGTTTAAGTAGCAGCATTTATTTTGCTTCACAGGTAAATCTGCAAGTGAAAAGCAGCAGAAATGGCAGAAGAAATCCTGCTACTGATGTAGGTTTGCAGTTACTATTCTCCAAGAAACTCTTTAGGACATCAAAAAAAAGGCAGATGGGCCAGGTCCTCATGCCATCAGTGTGCTTAGAGTGCAGAAAGATCTGACCTGCTTCTCTGGTGGAGTGCGATGCTGCAGTTCTGATTCCACCAAGACTAAAAAATGGCAGCACTGTCCATAAAGGTGCAGACAGTGAGGTAAAGCTTTGGCTAAGCAGGAAGATTTGCTGGGCCTATTCTGACATCTTCCACCTGCCAGAGGTGTGAACTTTGGTGTTGTGGTTAAATTACAACTCTGATGATGGTGTAGTTAACTGACACTAAGGGAGAAGTTTTAAATTCCTTCCCTGCCTATATATATATATATATATATATATATATATATACATATATATATATATATATATCTTTTCTACATATA